CCATTTTTCCCTGGTTCCCTCCTATGTACTACTTCCGGAGAAGCAGGTCGACCGTAAACATTTGATCTGTGGGTTGGAACCTGAGGTTTATAGACGTTAAGTCTTTGCCACACCGAGCCTCTTCGATGCTTGTTCGACCCCCCGTAATCACTTGGTTTAGGGACATGAGCCCTATCAGGTTTTTTACCGACCGATGGTCGGGGATTCTGAGCGTTTTTTAACTTGTTCATTTCCTCCTGAATCATATATTTCTCAGCTATCTCCGTGATTCGCTCGAAAGATTTTGGTTGCTTTCGGCAGAGAGCATTCCCGAATTGGGTATTCCGTGTCAACTCGAACATGAGTGATGACAAGAACTCAATCTGAGGGGTATCTACTTTTAGAAGCTCGATGCTAAACCTTGCCAGCCATTGCCTCAGCGTTTCTCCTTCCAATTGCTTCACCGTTCCCAAATGATTGGCAGGTAATCTTTGTTTCCTCTGACTCGCGAACTGATGTTTCAACTTATCGCATAGCTCATCGAAAGAGAAGATAGAGTTCGGAGGTAATTTTCCGAACCAGTCTAAAGCAATTCTTCGAACGTGGTTACCATAATTTTGCAACAGAAGTCTTCTGAGTGTCCGTACAAGTTCAACACATTTATGAACGTGTTAATGTGTTCTCCGGGGTCGGTAGTCCCGTTATACCTTGGCAACCTTGTTGGAACTGTTTCAGTGCCTCGAGCCTCTCTGATCTCTTGGCAGAAAGGTGAACATCGCATGATATTCGTACTTAACTCCTTTTCTCTACCATCCTGGAGGACCAATTCCTCATCTTCCTTAGTTTCAGCTCGTCGACCCCTTATACCCGGGGGATGGGTTTCCTTAAACAGCATTTCCTTCTTCAACTCCTTAACGACTCTTTCTTGTACAATTTTTTCCAAATCAGCCTCTGTTACTTTACGATAAACTGGCTTCTTCAAATTGTTCCGATCATTGGGCTGACTCTCCCCTACTACAGAATCTTCTTGGCCTCGGGGGGCCCTAGACGGTTGCCCTGATCGGCCTCCGGGTCTTTCCCGAGCCTCTCTGGGAAGATCCGATGCAGCATCCCGGGCAGATCGGCGAACACTCCCTTCCCCTCGTAGGTTTGAAGCGGGACCCCGGTGCCCCGATCGAACCGCGGGCTGATCGACAGGAAGCTGCTGGCCAGGATTCATGAATTCTCTACACATAGTACCGACAATGGAACGCAGATCGGCCATCGTAGTATGTATGGGCAGGTCAGTAGGTGGGTCGAGCGGCGGTGCTTCGGACTGGTGTGCCGCTCGAGACTGGTTACTTGGTTCGTTGTTTACAGAACGTTGAGCTCCTAAGGCGTGTGAAGGCTCGCCGCGATTGTACGTGAATCTCCTAGTAGTAGGCATTTTTCGATCTAACACCCGAACAGGCCCCTCGGTGGGCGCCAATTGATTATGCTCTTTTTCATTGGGATACAAATATAGAAAGTCGAGCTAAACAATAAATAAATCAGGTAGATGGTGAATGTATATTAATAATCAACTCAAATACAGTTTACAAAGTAGGTATTGGATGCCGTAAAACTCGCTAGATCAAATACAAAGGAAAGCGAGATAAAGCCTAATCCGAACTCTAGGTCCGAGCTGGAGTCCTTTCTTGGAAAACGTGTCCCCTTGATGTCATAAATGCGGTGGTATATATAGGAACAGTGATGGGCTAGCTAGACCCTCCGCAGGGGAAGATATCTCGGCCAGCTGTCCAGGCCTGAGGTCGGGCTCACGGTAAACCCGAGGAGTTTAGTAGATCGGAAAGAGGAATCCCGAGCTATTAGTCTGACTTGGCTGGAGACTAAGTTTTGGATGGAGAATACCTTTCTTGGACGGGATCCAGGTCGATCTCGAGCAGAGGTATTTCCTAAAAGGGCGTATACAAAATATCCCTCATCAATACTCCCCCACTTCTCGAGCGCAAGTAAAGCTGAAGCTCGGAGAAGTAAATATCATCGTAGCACAAAGATTGATATGCCTCATTAAAAACCTTACTCGGAAAAACCCAGTGGGACAAAATTCGAGATAGGGAAAAAGAGCGCATATTTTCTCTGGACGGGCCTTTGGAAAGGCAGGATGCTTCAAATCATTGGAGGTCGGAGTCCTCGATCTGTGTACTCTACCTCGAAGTCATAGCAAAATCTGAGAAACGGAGAAACATATAATGAAAATCAAGTCTTGAACGGTCTTGAGTCGGATATGCCTCGTTAAAAACCTTACTCGGAAAAACCCAGTGGGACAAAATTCGAGATAGGGAAAAAGAGCGCACATCTTCATAATAGAAAAGTTAATCTTCAATTTACTGAGTGGGAGCTTAACCGTCGCGGTTACTCGGGGTTTAATTTGCAATTTACCCTTTTAACCTTTATATATATGCGTTGACCTGAAGAGACGCCCACACCTTCTTAACTTTTACCGCAGATCGGAGTACTCGCGTCGATAGAAAGCATAACTCTTCGTCGACCATCGCAACAATCTCCTGAAATGTCTTCTGAGAAGCCCGAAACTCAAGCCACTATTCCTCCGAGATCGGAATCCGATCTAGGGTCAATGGACGTATTCATTGATACTTTCAAAACCGCTGAAAATTCTCCTAACGAGGCGAATAAGACCGTCGAACAAGTTGAGAGGGTCGTAGAGCCGAATGTTGATGAGGGAACGTCTGGTCAACCCGAGCCGGAAGGTAACTCAGAGCACAATACCGAGTCCAATTCCGAGGGCGAAGGAAGTCCAAATTCCGAAAGTGAAGGGGATGAGGTCGGGGCGTTGGAAAAACACGAAATAATGAAATACTCTGTAGGACATGGATGTGTGGTGAGAATTCTCGATCTAGACTCCATGCCGAAGAAAGCTACTACCACTGTCCCAGCTCGAGCTCAGAAGACTGAAAAACGGGTAGATGAGATAGTCTGTTCATATGACCCGATCAAGAGTAAAGCTGATCTTGAGGCTGAGATCGGAAAATATCTTCCCGAGGGATACTCGCTGGTTATTCCGACTTCTTCTCAACGAGTAAACCAGCCGCCTGAGGGATGTCAAGCCTTCTACGCTAAAAAATTTGCCTATGGGCTGCGGATCCCCTTTGCGCCCCTGGTCAATCAAATCTTGGATGTATTCGCTCTCGCACCTGCGCAGATCCTACCCAATTCCATTGGATATTTGATAGCCTTCAGTGTGCTAATGAAAGCCAAAGGCAAACGTGACAATTTCCAGAACTTTTGGCAATTCTTTAAAGTTAGCAGCTCACCGGCCTCTAATACAAGGTTCGTGTATTTTTCACAACGGCCAAACCAATCAATCTTATCCACGATTGTTTCGAGCAACTCACTTGATTGGAAGAAATAATTTTTCTTTATCAAGGGACCCGATGCTCCAGTTTCCGACAGGTCGACGCGACTGGGTGTGCGGGAAACGTGAATTCCTGGGCTCACTTAAGCAGGGCATCAGTGATAAGGCCATCGCCGAGATGCATTCCGATCTATATCAGTCGGCATTTCTGATCCTAGAGCCCGTCCTTCGGAAGGCAGGCCTTAGTAAAGCCACGTTCGAGCATGCGGATGCAGTTGATATCCGATCGTTGAGTAAGTTCAAATTCTTAGTCTATCTTCTTTAGACCTATTGTCCCAAATCTCCAACCTTATAAATATCATCCGCTTTTTAGGTGACATGGTCGGGTCTTATCGGGCTTCCATAGTCGGCAAAATCGTGGCCTCCACCTCAAAGAAAACGCCAGGTCAACCGAGGCGGCAAGCCAGAATTCCTCAAGTACCGAGTAATCGATCCACTGTTCCCCCACAAAGTAATCCTGCCCAAACTGCTCAAAAGCAAATCGTCGAGGAGCCAGAGAATCCCGAACCGTTACGAATGGTCTTTCCAACAGACCAAGCTGGTCCTTCTACGTCGTTTGGATTGGGATACAGCTTGTTCACCATGAGAAAGATGAAGGGCTTGGAGATTAGTAACCGATGAACTCGGGAAGACCAAGAGGGAGCTCCCGAGGCGAAGAGAAGGGCAGGATTGTGGGGTCGGCACCGAACACCCCTTACTCGCCGTCCAGGTCGAGAAAAACCTGACATGGTGGATTTTATCGAAAATCAGCTTAAAGGCCATCGAGCGTCGGGTTATCCTGAGGGAGGATCCATTCGGAGTGACCGCGGCCCGACTGGAGAAAACGAACACGACAAAGCGATAAAAATCTTCATGGCGGGAAGATTCGCGGAGGATCAGGAAGAACTTCTGTTTCACGACGATCTTGATATATTAGGTCGATTTGCGCGAGCGCATCATGAGGTAAAGAAACATTTGGAGTGATAACTCATAGACGTTTATACAGAATATTAATTGTCCTCTTGTTTCTTGGCAGATCGGGGATTGCTTCCTCACAGAACTTAATCGCACCTCGCTGCTCGAGCACGAGTCCGATCGAGTCCACCTGGCCTATCAAAACTCCCTCTTTGAAGAAGCCAGACTTCGTCAGAAACTCGATGCGGTCCAGAAAGAACTGGAGGAGTCGAAGTTCAAGTATACCCCTGCGGTCGAGGAGGACTTAGTTAAGGTTGTTGGTGAGAAGAGTCTACTCGAGGACAGGGTGAAACAGCTCGAAAAAGAACTCGCGCAAACCAAGACTGACTCAGAGCTGTCTTATCAACGTGGAAAAGAGGAGTCGTGCCTGAGCTCAATAAGGGAGTTTTTGGAGTCCCCCGCCCTGGATGCTATAGCTCGAAAAAGGGTCGGCGAAATCCTTCAGACTACTTTCTACAAAGGTGTCCAACAGTTGGCCGCAACAAAGGTTATTCCCGACAAAATGACATAGTATATAAAGCACATGGACATCATGAAGAATTCTCGCGGGGAAGGTTTACCGTGAGCCCGACCTCAGGCCTGGACAGCTGGCCGAGATATCTTCCCCTGCAGAGGGTCTAGCTAGCCCATCACTGTTCCTATATATACCACCGCATTTATGACATCAAGGAGTTGGTAGAGCGCAAGGCTCTTAACCTTGTGGTCATGGGTTCGAGCCCCTCGGTGTGCGCCAATTGATTATGCTCTTTTTCGTTGGGATACAAATATAGAAAGTCGAGCTAAACAATAAATAAATCAGGTAGATGGTGAATGTATATTAATAATCAGCTCAAATACAGTTTACAAAGTAAGTCTATTCGGGCGGTATTGGATGCCGTAAAACTAGCTAGATCAAATACAAAGGAAAGCGAGATAAAGCCTAATCCGAATTCTAGGTCCGAGCTGGAGTCCTTTCTTGGAAAACGTGTCCCCTTGATGTCATAAATGCGGTGGTATATATAGGAACAGTGATGGGCTAGCTAGACCCTCCGCAGGGGAAGATATCTCGGCCAGCTGTCCAGGCCTGAGGTCGGGCTCACGGTAAACCCGAGGAGTTTAGTAGATCGGAAAGAGGAATCCCGAGCTATCAGTCTGACTTGGCTGGAGACTAAATTTTGGATGGAGAATACCTTTCTTGGACGGGATCCAAGTCGATCTCGAGCAGAGGTATTTCCTAAAATGGCGTATACAAAATATCCCTCATCAGAGTTTAATTTAGTTAATAAAAAATGTGTAAATTGTTCATGAAAAGAATTAGTAGAATTGTGAAGTTAGCAAGGGTAATTCAATGTTTTAATTTAGTAGAATAGTATCAAAGAAATGGAATTTTAACTTAATTTAGCGAGGTAATTGAAGGTTTTGATAGTGCAGAGGTAGGTGAAGGCATATGAAAATATAGAAGATAACTCTTTGAAATTAACCAATAAGGGTATAATCGAGAAGTAGAGCTAGTATGTTGCCACATCAACAATTACTAGCCGTCATCTAACGGAAAATTTAACGGCAGGGGGGTTACCAAATGTTTTAATAGTACATGGGTAGAAGGTGAATGATTGATAAGAGTACATGGGAGGTATGCGAAATTAACCCTAATAAAAATAGGTGTAGTTTTTGTAAAATTAAAACTTGTCATTTAATGGACTTCTCTAATTATAATGAACTATTCTTTTAAAAAATGGTCCATGTTTTCATTAGAGTATTAAAACTAAAAAAAGAACTTTCACTTACTTATAAAATATTATTAATTTTTTTTGTTACTTTACTATTTTAACAAATAAGGTATTGGAAAAATTATAAATCTAAGGAATATGCGTGAAATTTAACAGAGTCATATACTACAAAATAGACTTGAGCTCAAAGTCCAACATATTCTTTCTTTTCTTTTTCATATTAGAATTATGCTTAAAAAAATCACAACTTTAGAGTTGCGAGATATTTTTAAATATCAAGAATAATTCAAGTTTCACACCGAACTCTTTCTCATATCTCCATCTCTATTCCCAAAAAAAGATAGTTTAGAATTGACAATGATTTGATAGTTTTACAACAACCGTGGAATGACATTTTCGACTATGAAGTATATAAAAGTTCGTTGGAGAATTAGATGAAAAATGAACGATTAAATGACTTGACTGAAAAAAATGTGTTTGACTGTGTTTCAAATGGTTCAATCATGAAATGATTTCAATCTTCAATCTTCAATCTTTTACAAACCGACATAGACGCTTGTAAAATATGTTTGCATTTAAGCAGTTGACATTTTTGTTTGAATTAATTTTATTCAATTTTTTTTTGTTACTGATTTTTTAAGTAATTATTTTGTTATTAATATAGCCTTTGATTTTATAATAACTCCACTGAAATATTTTTCTGGCTATGCCGTTGAATGAATTTGTATGTTATAGTATACTTCATTCCGATTATATTGATATTATAAAGCTTATGGTAAATTCTAGTGGAGAAATTCAATTCTATAGTTGAAATAAGCTTATGAAAATATGGGACTTGTTTTGGTTATGACCAAAAGGTTCATGCAACGTGTATGACAAGTGTGAATAATTTTCCGTTTATAATGTTAATCATGAGTCGATGTGTAAATGTTTCCCGGTTTGAAACACGCTTCATCTACAAGGATACAAGTGTCAGTCAATATTCAAATGGATGTGATACAAAAGGATCTAAAACATGCAATAATAATCTTAGTCAAGGGGATGAGACAACTTCTTCGATTTAACCTTAATGAACGTCGATGGTCTAGATGTGTCATTTCAGCCAGCTCAAGTGAGAAGGAGTGCAATGAAAAGTGCTTTAGTAATTGCAAATACAAGGCATACTCTTATGTAGGATTTAACGCCACTCATAAAGACATGAATAAACAGTCTCCAAGATGTAAATTCTAAGCTACTCCAAATCTCATATAAATATTACTCGCACAAATACCATACAAAATAAAGACTTACAAATTGAGCTCGAATAACTTGATATTTTTATATATGTTTTACCGATTTTTAATAAACATTCAAAAGTTATGAAACGATTGTTCTTCAAATTTGAATTGCGCCCAAACCCACTTTTATTGATCTAACTTAATTCCAAAATTGAGTAGTTTAATTAGATTTTAATTATTAAGTTTACTTATTACAAAGGATATGTGTGATCCTTTTTTAACAAATATTTTTAATAAAATTTTAGTTTTACATCATAGTAGTTATTAATGTATTTTGAAAATGCAAAATCTTACTCTATTTAGATACATTTGTTATAGGATCATATTCACAATGTTTGTGACAACAGATTTCGGCAAAAAAAGTTTGTCTCGAAATTAAAATTAATAAAAGCTTATTTACTATTGACTATGTGACATAATTAACCAAATGAATTCGTATTATATTTAGAAATTGTATAGGAAAACTAAATTATAAACTTTAATGAATATTTGCACTTTTAGAACTAAGAAAAGTAAGTTTTTTATAATGAGAATTTTGATTTAGATTTGCACAGGCCCCTATAAGAGTAGTATCAGACAAGCTCTCCATCATTTGATTCGAAATTGTTAAATGGATATATGATTTATATATATCATTTAATAGAAATGCGAAATTGAATTTATTTTTTTATTTTTCAAGGGTATTAAGATTTTAGACATGACTTAATCTCCTTCGAGGTGCGTCAAATATATTCTATAAGAATATTTTCCAATAGAGATTCGAGACTGGGTTCGACATTTGGGGGCTAGTCTCTTCTATTAGACTCGTTGGTCAAAACTGAGTTTTCTATGCTAATGTACTAGTGCTTTTGACTAAACCCAACTTATATTCATATAGTAAGAGCTAATGCCAATTTATCCCCTTGTAAAATGCATAATATTTATTTCATCCCCTGTGATTTGAAAAGGAGCACTCTACCCACTGTGAAAATTTTATAAGAGCACTTTACCTCCTTCAGAGTGTAACTCACTCACCGAAATTGAGATTTGTCATGTAAAGTGTTTTCATAACATTAGGGGGGGGGGGGGGGGGGGAAAGGGGCAACATTTATCATGATACCTGGGGTAAATTGCTACATTTATCATAATACAGGGGATAAAGTGCCACATTTATCATAATACATGGGGTAAAGTACCACATATAAGAGGGGTAGTTTTGTCAATTCATATTTTTTTAAGTATATAAATACCAGGATACAGTGTGGAACATTTATAAAATTACAGAGGATAAATTGCTGTTTTTTAAATCATAGAAAGATAAACTGAACATTATGTAAATCACAGGAGGTAAATTGCCATTTACTCTGTATAGTTATAATATATTATAATTTGGCAATTTCATCTCGAAGAAGTAGTCTATTTTATTGTATTGGGTTAATTGTGCATTACTTCCCCCGTGCAATTATTTTGGATATAATTTTGCATTACCTCCCCAGGTTGTCAGCTCATTTCTTGAAAGAAGAATTGTTTTTGCCATTGTGTAGACTTCTTTTTTGGGAACTTCAGATGCTCACCTACAATTATCCTAGTTCTTTATGTTGCATTCATTAGTTTATTGTTGTAGTACTTTTTCTCTAGTACTCTTAGATGACAAACAATTTCATCTGTCTACTATGTTGAACTTATCTTCTCATTGCCTTGTTTTTCTGTTAATTAGTGGCAGTAAATACTAAATCATTTTATGTATCTATACATTTCAAATGTTGTTTTGTTTTAATTGCAGACACCAGAAGATGATTTTGTAATCTCTTAAGTTTGATTTTTTTTTGTCATTGTTTTGATATATTAATTCTATGATCAAACCAAGTAAAGTCATATATCATAAGTTATGTCCTATATTAGAAACTTGTCAGATATGTTCTCTATTAGAAACTTGTCGTGTTAAGTAAAATATGCAATTCTAAAGCATCCAAATTATACTATTTCAAGATTATAAATTAACTTAATAACATTTTGTATAATTTGAACTTGTAACAATTAAGTCAAGTTTTGCTTTTAAATTTCATACATATATGACTGTTCATAATTATTGCTTTATTAATCCTTACCTTTTTCGACAGATGATACACCCTGTTCATGAACAAAAGTTTTACTTAACCGAGGAACATAAAAGGAAGCTGAAACAGGAAATATGGTTTGTTAATTACCTAGTATAATGATTTAATATCATTAAAATTGCGGGAGACTTAATTACATGTTACTATGTTTGGTTTCTAGGTATTGAACCATGGATTTTTGTGCAAAGAATAGGAGATGCAGTTTTCATAGATGTTGGATGCCATCACCAAATCAGAAACTTGAAGGTGGAGTAATGTTTTAACTTCTAGTTTTTATGTGTTAAGGGGTTCAAGTAGTTCACATGTTTAGATTTATGTAGATTCAATATCTTGTGTTAAGTTACATTATAAGAGTATATATATATTAATTAATTAGTAGGGTATTTTTGTACTTTCAATTAAGAAAATGTATAATAGCTCTATACAGTAACATGTAATTGGAGTAGGGCCAAGAGCAGAAGCACAAAAACATGAATCCTACAATAATTTCTTTAATGCTATGTGGAGACTACATGCTCCTTACATGCCAGGGTTCGAACCTCATTCTTGGTATTTTTAATGATTCTCGACTGCAATAAATTGACTTTATCCAAAAATGTGAAACCCTAGTTCCCCATTTTGGCTCCACTTTTTTTTTTAGCCGCCTCC